CACTTGAACATGACGCTGCTTTTTTCGAAGTTTCTCAAGAACCATTCGAGCCACAGAATTCGTTTTGGCATCGTTGGATAGAGAATTGAATGGGGCGGTCATGACCTCCATGGCCCCCCTGGATCCGCCCTTGCCTTCAGACTCTAGCAGGTAGTATAGAACTTACCGAAATTGCGCAAATTTGCTTGTTGTGAGCTGTGGGATTCCATTCGGCAGCCCCAACATCGTATTTACTGGTTCTGGGGAACTTGAAGACATTCTCATATTCTTCGTCCAAATTTCTCAAGGCGATGCATCTCCTCCTAAATAGTATTATTTAATGTATAAGACTATTTAACGCGTAACACTGCAGTTTTAGTCAGCAAATGTATTTCAATAGGTCGATTTCATACAGCGCATTCTCTTAAGATGTTCCGCAATGGTTAGTTCTACAGCCTTACCCGGCTAATAAGGCGTATGTGCCAGTGCAATCCACCGACATAGCATTTGCCTGCAGATCTTTGCATTCGAGTGCAATGCAGTAATCATTGTTGATGAGCCTGGTCATGTTTGAAATTGCGGATTTTACGGCTCGATACTATCAGTCTGTTCACGTTTTCACATAGCAATACGACCCCTACACAATAAAAACCGCCCTTATAACACACGTTTCTAATTCCTGCACATGATAACAAATTAGGCCAATATAAACAAACAAATCCCTTAACCTCAAAAAAATAACGTTGATCAATGAAGAAAATCGCCAGTTTTAAGTAGTGACGTCATAGAAATTTTATTGAGAATTTGTAATCTTTAAAGTTTAATTAATTTAGAAAACCGTCTATTAGCAGCAGATAATTTTCCACCATAATCGATCGGTTTGTTTGTAAGAAACTCCCTCTAGTCAATTTTAAAAATTATTTATTTTCAACTTTTTTCCTATTAGCTAAAAGGGTGTCACAAGTGTCCAAGCCACAGGGACATACTTAATTAAAATTTACATTTTTGACAGCAAATTGTCAGCCAGGCACATAACTACAGTACATAACCTTGCTATCGGTCACATTTTTCAGTGTTTTCATTTAAGTCGCATCTTCACTCTGCCAGAGATAATGCAATTAATCATCCTCTCGCCGGTTAATTCATTGTATAAGACTTAAGGTAGCTATACCTGGAAATTTTCTTTTCAACTCCAACGATCATGTCTATGGTGGCCCCCAAACTGCTTACCTCAGCGAGGCTCAGCACACGGTTGATAACAAAATTACCTCAACGTGCCTACGTTTGCTATGCACTAACAACGCCCTCGGCTCAACGTGCTCCATTAGTGGCTAGTTGTGCAAGATTTAGCAGAAACCCCCTAGAATGCACGGTTTTGAGACACAGCGCTTCAAAAGCCCACCCCAGTACTGACAATAATAATGAGGAGCAAGGAAAGAAATTGTCTTTGTTTCAACGGTTTAAGCAAATGTACAGGGATTATTGGTATGTGTTGCTTCCGGTTCATGTAGTCACCTCAACAGCATGGTTCGGAGGATTCTACTACTTAGCTATCAGGTAATATAACTAGGTGGTTTTTGCAAACTCTCCTACTAATACCCGTTCATTTTCAGTGGTGTTGATATTCCCGCGTTGCTGGAGTCGATGAATATGAACGAAAAAATCATAAACACTATGAGGAATTCGAGCATGGGTTATTTGGCAATAACCTATGGGCTATATAAAATAACAACCCCAGTACGATACGCCGTGACACTAGGTGGAACCACCTTGAGCATCAATTATCTGAGACGATGGGGATACATTAAGCCTATACCTAGTAAAGAACGACTCAAAGAGATTTATGCGGAAACAAAAGAAGGGATGAAAGAGAAAAAGGAGAATTTGATGGAAACCGTTCATCACTTGCAACAGACCGTAAAAGAGACCAAAGACGGAATCAAGGAAACCAAGGACCACATTGTTTCCTCCGTGAAGGAATCAAAGGATAGTATTAAGAGCATGAAGCAAAAGGTAATTAGTAGTACGCATAAGAACCAAAACAAACCTTAGTGAGAAACCTAATGACAAGTTGTATGTTAAGAAGTCTAGATTTACTCTTAAATTAAGGGAAAATGCTAAGAAAAATTCTACTGAAATTTGTTTTTTATGTAAACATGGCGTTTAAATAGTATTGGTAAGTTATAACAACTGTGAGTAGACAGAATCTTGTTAAATTTTACATGTAACTTTTATATTTATTAAATATCGTAGATCCTTCTCATTGGGTGTTAATTGCACAAGGCCTTGCAATTCAATTTGCGGTTAAAAAGCCTATCCATTTTCAAAAAGTATTTCATCGGTTCATGCGAAGCAATATTTGTGTGGGAAAACTACAACAAAACTTTCCCGTCTCCACCAATGACTAGAATCGACAATAGTAAACTACCCACTAATACTGCTGCGTTTATTATTAATTAATCATAAATATTTGCTGGAGTAATTAAAGCTTACAGAAATATCGGTAACGTTGTGACTAGATCAGATCAATAGCGTTAAGTAAGCGCACTTGCTTACAGGTCTTCCATATCATAATCATCGAGAACGTCCGAGCCGTCCGTTCTATGATTATTTGAAAAGTAATCGTAATCCACTTCTTTGTCCTCTAGAAGTTCCATGTCATCGAGCTTACTGGCTGCAGTGACTGGACGAACAACCGCTTGACTTAGATATTCAGTGTTCAAGTATGGAGGTAGTTCGTCTTCTTCGTCCTCTTCCTCCGGATCCAACTGCTGCGAGTCAACCATTTGCAGCCACTGAGCGTTATGATGCCGGAATTTCTCAATTCTGATCCTGTCCGCCCAGGAGTTGTTGTGCGCCGAGATGATGTTCAGGCACATGTTGCAGATTTTCCTGATGTTCTTATTGTTGTCCTGCAACAAGTCTATTAAGTAAGCAGGCACGTGGGTCTTCGTAATGATGTATTCCACATTGCTTTCGTGCCACAGCGTGGTGTAAAACACGTAGACGATCTGGAGCACTATTTCATCATCCTCCTGGTGCGTTTTCAGCAAGTCTATCAGTGTGATTATAATTCCGCTCTCGCACAAGACGTGCGCGCAATTCTCATCCGCTCCCGCTGTTCCTAACAACACTATCACTTGCAGGACTAGCTCAGGGTCAGTGTTGTTCATGCTAATAGTATGTATGATCCAGTCGGCCATGCCAAAATGCTTGAATATTTCCGCCCAATCCAAGTCGGGCAAATGCAAATTACTTAGTATCCCAATACATTCGGTTACGAAGTCCAGATTCTTCGACCTAACTATCGCTTTCGCGATATCGCCGACGAATTCTATGAACGACGAGCATATGTATACATTGTTCGAGATGTTGTGTATCAATTTCATCAGAATGGGGTCTTCGAAGGTAAACGCTCGAGTTATCATTGACTGCAGTCGGTTTTCTTTGATCATCTGCTGCGATATTTCTGGATGGGCGGCCAAATTTATGAACAGCGCTATCATGACTTTATCACCCTCGTTGCCTGCATTTAACAGCAGCATGTCCACGATCAGTCCGATTGAGTCGGCGAAATGGTGTTTGGAGTCTCCATCGTAGCTCAGATTGTAGAGCAGTTTCAGGACGACTTCTTGATGCCGATCGTCCCCCATGAATTTAACAACTTTTGGAATCAAGCCGCTCTTGCTCATCTTGCTACGCAATTTGTTGTCGAAAGACAAGTTGAACAGTAGCTTCAATGTGAGATGAACTAGGTCCGCGCTGCGTGAATCCAGCATCTTCGGCAGCTTCTCTACTACATTGTAATTGGCCATCATGTCCTTATTACACTGCATTATTGACAGTTTCTTCAGAAAAGTGACCACCAATATCAGCAAGTCATCGTTGCTCCTTTCCAGGGCCTTTACTAGCAGCCCTACAATATTTCTCTTGGACATTTTTTCCTCGACAGTTTCATCTTCAGCTATATTCAGCAGCAAGTAGTACGCTACTCGAAGAAGGTGCTCCTGCTTCTTGACCAGCGTCCTAAACTTCTTCATTTTCTGTTCGGGATTCAGGCGCTTATCGTCCAAGCTTTCCATGGAAGTGGTGAGGTCATCGTACAAGCTCCCATCAAGAGACTTGGCTTTTTCTGCACCATTCTTGTTTGCCTCCATTACCGCTTTCATGTTCACATCAGAAAAATGTCCGGACTTCGGCCGCACTGGCTCAGGAATCCGACTTCGGGGAATTTCGGACATACTGGCACTGCTTGGGCAGGGTTTTTTCACTATTGGTTGATCAGCCGGGGCGCTGCCTCCTTCTAGTTCCACTTTCCACTTGTCGTATCTTCGCAGTTCAAAGTCGATTATATCCATGCAAATCGAGCCAACTTTACACTTTAGAATTATGAAGTGAAAAGACGAGTACATGGAGAAGCAGAAAAAGGTGAATACCAAGTGGGTGCTTAACGAAATGCTTCGTTTCCAGTCTTCCCGCAGAACTCTTCCCAGGGCGCTGATCAGGGTTTCGTTTTTCGATAGGGCTTCCAGGTTTTCCGGGTCTCTGGCAAGCGACTGAATCAACTGGGCGCCTTTTACCTTTTCAGGCATGCCCTCATACAGCAGATCAATATAATCAGCCAAATTATTGTAGTTCGCTTCCACTTGATTATTTGCTTCGCCGTTCTTGTCGTGCTCTCCTTTGGCCGATCCATGCAGCCTCCTCTTCTTCAGATAGTAAATTACTTGCTCGACTTCAGCAATCCGGGAATGGTGAATTAGATCGCATTGGTTCACCACTTCCTTGGCCAGCGCATGACAGTCAGTTCTGCTGTTAATCATTGGGAGTTCGATTACTTTCTTCAAGGCTTTCTTCTCGCCATGCAGGGGATTGTCTTTGGGTCCCAGGATTTGCACATGGACGTCGTAACTGAGCACGATGGCGTCGATGTTGGAATGAACATCAATCGATCCTGGTTTGCGTTCAGTTCTCAAGAACTTTGCCACGTCTGGTTCCATATTAGATCTGAAAACATACAGATAAAGTGGTGTAGGCGTTTTTCAGTTATCACTTGTTGTTAAAGGGGGCAGTCCTGGAGGAACGACGAGATTTAAGACTATGACGATAGTGAGTTATGCGAAACAGGTGCAGTGAAGCAGTCGGCTGTGTTGTGAAAAAGCAGTATTTGGCTAGAAGTAGAATCAGTAAATATCCCATTATACGTGTTTCTAATTGAAAGACCATATTAAGAATCGGGCCTGAATTACATTTAAGACATTACTAGAAGCTTAATAAGGTGATAGTAAATTAAAACAGCACTCACTTTCTTTAATGTGCTGCAGTTGCCACTGAAGACGCAAATGTGCAAAAATTTTGCTATTGTCTAAACATAATACAATCAGAGCATAGAACAAGGCTTATTGCACAGACTACATACTATTGGCTGATTCTCTTGTCAGTCTTGTCCACAGAACATACCCCCATAAGGGGGATATTTTGTAGTCTTGTCTAGGATGCATTTGTATTGGTTTATAGATAGATGCCAACAACGACGTATATAGTTTATTGATTTGGGGTAAGGATAGACAAAATACTACTCGTAAATTTACTTCCCCTACAAATTCATGTGGGTATTTTTACTTAACTATGAGAATTTTGGTTAGTTATCTAATTGAAAAAAACATACTGTTTTCAAGCCTACCTTCAACGATGCCAGTTGCTCACTACTTGTTAGCACGCTTCTTTTGCAAATGGCATTGACAACTGGACTCCATCTAACCAATTCTTTCCATCCAATCCTTGAAGTTTTGGTCGGTTTCGAGGAAAGTTTCCAACGCAAATTTCCTCCAACTTGCACGATTTTAAGCTGTAATTGGTCAATAAGTCACTTTTTCCCCTCCGATTAGCATCGTTTTTTATAATTTAGGTAAGCCTTTCCATCATCGTGTTTCAATGCTTTTATTCCTCAATTTGTGGTTATATATAATAATTTGTGGGTTGACCTCTCTCTTCAAAGCTGGGCTAGTTCATTCGGAGAAAAAAAGTAGTTCACGCTTTCTTAAATTAAAAAGTACCGAACGATTTGTTACGATTGCTGCATTACATAAGGGCTATATTCATTGTAGCTTTAAGAGAACACTCTTTAAACATGCCATCTGATGCGAAAAAACGTGAGCAGCAGCGCAAAAAGGACGCCGCAAAAGCCAGACAATCTGGCAAAAAGCAACCGAAAGTCGAAGAACAATCTAATCCAACCCCCGTTACTACCAATGGTACTGAGAATGGAACTGTTCAACTAAGTGAAGAAGGTAATTTGACTAAGATAAAAAAAACAAGCTTTTTTAATCGTTCTGTTACAAATTAGCGTAAGTCTCATCCAATTACATTTTACAAGTGTCTGTTGCAATTCCAGAAGCGCTTTGTGCAAAACTCGAAGCCGACGCAAAACTCAATGCGGAAGCAAGAGCATGTACTGGATCTTTGGCAGTCCATCCCAAGTCCAGGGACGTGAAGATCGAGAATTTCTCCATTACTTTCCACGGATCTGAAATGCTACAGGACGCCATGCTGGAGTTGAATTGCGGCCGACGATACGGCCTAATTGGGCTTAATGGTTGTGGAAAATCTACTCTTCTAGCTGTTCTGGGTAACAGGTAATAGAGCGGCGTTAAGTCCCCGTTCTCTGAATTTTATTGACTCGTTTGGCTTTTCAGAGAAGTTCCGATTCCGGAGCATATTGATATCTTTCATCTAACCCGGGAAATGCCTGCTTCCGACAAATCAGCCCTGAAGTGCGTTATGGAAGTCGACGAAGAACGGACTCGACTTGAACGGCTTGCCGAAACTTTAATAGCTTGCGAGGATGATGGTAGGGCTAATGACGTTTTTAGTCTGTTCTTTAGGAAGCACTTGGTTTTCACTTTAACACTTTCTGAATATTATTGATTTATTCCAGATTCCCAAGAGCAGCTGTTGGACATTTATGAGCGTCTAGACGAAATATCGGCAGACACTGCTGAAGCAAGGGCAGCAAACATCCTTCACGGTTTAGGGTTCACTAAGGAAATGCAACAGAAGAAAACGAGGGACTTCAGTGGAGGCTGGAGAATGCGGATCGCATTGGCTAGAGCGCTTTACGTAAAACCCCATCTTTTGCTGCTTGACGAACCTACAAACCATCTAGATTTGGATGCGTGTGTATGGTTAGAAGAGGAACTAAAGAAGTATGTAGCTTTTGCGGAGAACCTCCGAGTAATTAACCCCGATTATTTTATTCCAGTTATAAACGAATCTTAGTCCTGATTTCCCATTCGCAAGATTTCCTGAACGGAGTCTGTACCAACATTATCCACATGGATAAGAAGCGGTTGAAGTATTATACCGGTAACTACGATGCCTTTATGAAAACTCGAATGGAACTGCTGGAAAATCAAATGAAGCAGTACAACTGGGAACAAGACCAGATCAGTCATATGAAGGTATGCTTGCTAGTTTTCCACATTTGAATTCAGTATTTTTATACAAATTAAAAAAAATTTAGAACTACATTGCACGGTTTGGTCATGGTTCAGCTAAGTTAGCCAGGCAGGCTCAGTCAAAGGAGAAAACACTGGCAAAAATGGTGTCTCAGGGTTTGACTGAGAAAGTCAGCTCCGATAAGAGCGTTACGTTCTATTTTCCGAGCTGCGGCACCATTCCACCTCCTGTAATCATGGTGCAGAATGTGAGCTTCAAGTATAGTGACAATTCCCCGCATATCTACAAGAATCTGGAATTCGGTATCGATTTGGACACGAGATTGGCTCTCGTCGGGCCGAATGGGGCTGGAAAAAGTACTTTGCTGAAGCTGCTCTATGGAGATGTAAGTGCCCGTTTTGGTCGTCGACGGAAATTTACTAACGCGAAGATTGTTGATGATCTAGCTTTTCCCAACTGAAGGGATGATTAGGAAAAACTCGCATTTGCGGATTGCCAGGTACCACCAGCACTTGCACGAATTGTTGGACTTGGATTTGTCTCCGCTCGAGTATATGATGTCTTCATTCCCGGATGTTAAGGAAAAGGAGGAAATGAGGAAAATTATCGGGCGATACGGGTTAACTGGCAGGCAGCAGGTAACCGACTTTCTCGAAGTTCCTTCAAGAGCATTTTGTCCAAATTTTGCCCTCAGGTTTGCCCAATAAGGCAGCTTTCCGATGGTCAAAGATGCCGAGTGGTATTCGCGTGGTTGGCATGGCAAGCACCTCATTTGCTTCTTCTCGATGAACCCACCAATCATTTAGACATGGAAACAATCGATGCTCTAGCCGAAGCGGTGAACTGTTTCGAAGGCGGTCTGGTTCTAGTCAGTCACGACTTCCGACTCATCAGCCAGGTAAGGGGTTAAGGTAGTTGAAAGTTTCAAGTTTATTCACCAAAGTGATTTAGGTTGCAGAGGAAATTTGGGTATGTGAGAAGGGTACAGTGACAAAGTGGAAAGGGGATATCTTGTCTTACAAGGAGCACCTGAAGTCCAAGATGCTGAAGGAGAGTGAGAAGAACGCCAAGCAAAAATAAGTCTAGAAATTTTGAACAGTGGCAAGGAATTTACGCACCGTTTGAAGGAGACAATTAGATAATTTTTATCTAATTGTGTTTGGTTTTATAAACGGTGATCTCTAGGTTCCGGTTGTCTTAATTAATTAGATGCTTAACACTTGCCTCCCAGGTTCAAAAGCCGTCAGTGTTGGGATTATATTTATATCTCCGCTCGTCAAAATACAAAATTTAGTATAAACAGCTACATGAGGCAAAACATTGAGATTCTCAGTCTAAACGGAATTTGTATGCATTGGAAATTTGTTGATATGCTCCTGGTACAATGAGGCGTCTCTCAAGAACTGAAACAGCTAAAATCAAGCCTTGTCTGTCCATTGCCGTTCACAGCTTACCGAAACATGGCCATCCAGTTTCTGCAAAAGCTTGTCAATGAAATGCAGATTATGTTTTCCCTTTTGGCCGCACTCATATTTCGTAATCAAAGCCAAAAGAGTCACTGATAAGGTAAGGGCAGTGGCTCTGGCCTCCAATAGTTTTGGGTCCAAGGGGGGGTACATGCTTTTCACCATGTCATCCACTCGGCATGAGATTCGCTTCGCACTGTCGACTATTTGGCTGAAATTGCCCGACATTGGCGTTGAATTAGTTGCCAGTGTGGTCAGTTGCTCGGTCAAGTATCCGCATGTTTTTAGAATGGCCAGGCAATGTGGAATCAGGCCTGTTGCATCGTCAATCCACTGCCCGTCAGATAAGATGTTGTCAAAGTTAAAATTTACTTCTCCTAACTCCAGCTCCGGGCGTTCCGGCTCTATTAAATGCTTTTCTGGCCTAGAATGGGTTGCAACCAGTGGATAAAATTGAGCCACGTCAGGCAGAACTAGTACCTGGTTTCGTAGGCCCCGTCCAGATAAGTTGACTTGAAAAACAGCCTCTGTCTGCGGCAAATAACAATCAGAATGACGAAAGCGCTTACAAATATTGCGGACAGAACTCCGAACGCTATAGCAGCAATCATTTCCGCATATTCTGATGGCATTTTCGATGTGGAATATTGCTTCAAAGGAAACGCCAGTCTTACGGAAACAAGATGAGTGTCACTCAACTTACCCACATTAGCGGTTTAGGTCATTTTGTATCAATGCGACGATAAATTTGCCGAAGAATGGAAATAAAACTTAAAAACTTTGTATTTACTTGTAAACTGTCACTTCACTTGTTGATTGTCGCGTGTTTGGCATGTTACAGTGTTGACGATATTGTGGAAATTCCTAGATTGCAACGATCAAATGCACGAAATTAATAAAATCTAATATATCTCTTTAACAACAAATCGCCATTAACATCTGTTTATTTATAAGTATAAGGATCAGATATTCTCCGGAAAACGGCCAGAAACTTATCTCCATTGTTCCTCGTTACTTTCTGACCCTCTTCAGTGCTACTGTAAAGCTTCTCCACAATGGGATCTGCCGCCTATAGAAAACCAGTCCTATTTTGACCACTTTAAATCAAGTACATCACGGTACAAACTTACCAATTCATCGCCTTGAATGGGTTCAAATAGCGGGTGTTCAGTGAAGTGTTGCACCATCCACTCATTCAAATCCTTAACATCAGTAACAGTGTAAACTATACCACCTTCCATCAGTACATAGGCATATTCGGCCAACAGGCTCTTATTGATGATTCTCCATTTGTGCTTGGCCTTTTTAAAATGCGGGTCTGGATATAGAAAGAACATTTTCTTCAGCTGGAACTAGAGCTTGTAACTGGCCGCTAAATGAGCTAGTAGTAATCACCTACCTGGCCTTTCTTGAAGAAATTAGGCAAATATTTCATCGCATTCGACCGTAGGCAGGCAATGTTTTGGAATTGCGAGGGGCTCTGAGACCTTAAAGCTGCTATTCGATCCATTACATAGTCAGACACTTTTACCCTAATTTCCATACCTGCGTACATATTGCGTAGTTTCGCTTGGAAATCAATTTATTAAACAAACATACCTAGAATGAGGCTTTCTGGATACATTGGAGACAAGGTTATTAACAGCCCCCCGTATCCACAACCAATATCAACAAATTCAACTTTCGCATTATGTTCTTCGTTCGGTTTGAATTTCTCCGGGTAGTATTTGGACCAGTCCATTCTCTCGGGAGAAGTGGGGCTGAAAATGGGAAAACATGTTAAAAAAAACCGGGTTTTCTTCCGAATAAACACTTACTAGTCAAAGCAGTGGTCCGCCATGGGGTTGGAGTGAGCCCTTTGTCTGTAATACCTCTTTTGAGGCAAAGACAGTGAAGACTTATCGTTTTCCTTCATAGTGCTAGATTTTTAAAAATTTAATATTAATTTCAGTTAACCTCCATTTAGGTTCTACAACTGATCTGTGGTGGAGGCAAAGTAGGGTTAGGTAGGCGAGGCCACAGATCACAGAGTAGCCTCTGTCACTTGTGATCTGTGATGTCTGTGTGATCGATCTGTGGGCGAGACTAGGTTATGTAGAAGTTTTACAAGTTCAATTGAGTTTTTTTTCGTAACTAATATCAAAAGGGATGGAAAATATCCAGGAAGAAATGGACACAACGTCGTCCAATGCTACAGAACAAGAGGCTCTTCCAGGTTATAAAACAGTCAATGATTTCACTAAGGTACAAGCCTCGGTCTAAAATACCATGCTTTCTATAATGCAAATCGCTTTCCAGGAGGGTTTCAAGTGCATGATGGAAGGCATAAAGTGCGCTAACACTTTGCCAGCGGGTAGAGACTGGAGTTTTTACTCCACTTTTGAGTCATTCAATACAGTCGTCAAAGAAGAGACCAACGAGCTTTTGGAGGGCATGATGTTGGTGTTGAAAAAGAACGAAGTGGGTGTAAATATGCGCAACCAAACCACAGACAAGAAAACTGAGCTACTGATAGATTCGAACGATATTATACTGGAAAAAGTGGCCGATCACATCGATGAAATGAATGGCATCAGAAAAACATATTCTGAACCTGTGGTGTTGCAGACTGTTAGTGCTCAGCTTCCAGTTAATATTAACGGGTCTTGGAACAGGAATAGCAGTGCCACCTTTTCGGTGTCTTCTTCGATTGTGGCAACGGTATAAGTTAGTAGTTCTTCCAGGAGCTGATAATAACCGCACATTTTTAGGGTTTTCCACAGTCTTCTAAACAGTCAACTATACGCTTACTAGCTGCAGAAAACATTGTCAGACCTCAAAAGTTCTTTACGGATAAGATCGATAATCGAAATGATTACCCGTGGGAACCCAGAATTAAGGACAAACCGAACTCTTTAAAACCACTTGCAATATTTCTTGAGGAGACTGAAAGTGGTAGATCAGCGTACGTGAGCTGTCAACATTGATATATAAGTTCAATTATTAACCAATTGTTTCTTCCGTAGGTTTTCCCATCCTTATGAATTCGAACTGGACAGATTTAGCCCTCCCGATGAACTGTTGGTTGAGGCGCATGTACAATTTCCCAAGTTATTGAAAGACACACCATTGATTGAAATAAACAATGCATCTCAGTTGGCCCCTCTCGTAGACGAGCTAAGAGCTTACACAGTTATTGCAGTTGATGTAGAACATCATTCCTATAGGTCCTTTATGGGAATCACTTGCCTGCTTCAGATCTCCACATTTGACAAAGACTATCTGATAGACACTTTAAGCCTAAGGAATGATCTATGGATTTTGAATGAAATATTCACTAAACCAGACATAACAAAGGTACCTACTCATTTGCGCGTAAACCCAATGGTGGGACTCTAAACTAATTGGCTTACAGGTGTTTCATGGGGCAGATTCAGATATCATTTGGCTGCAAAGGGACCTGTCTCTTTATGTCGTCAATCTGTTTGATACATTTTTCGCTGCCAAACATTTGGAATATAGCAAACTATCGTTGGCGTATTTGATGGAGCGTTTTTGCAAAATAAGACCAAACAAGAAGTTTCAGTTGGCGGATTGGAGAATGCGACCGTTACCTGATGAGCTAAAGAATTACGCCAGGGAAGACACTCACTATTTGATTTTTATTTATCAAAAAATGAGAAACGAGCTTCTTCAAAAAGCTAACGGAAATAGTAACCTCCTTAAGGCAGTTATAGATCAAAGCACCACGCTATGCAAAAAGGTATAACTATGGAGCGCTATCAACTTATCAGTAAGATTGTCGTCTTTTTCTTAGAGATATTTTAAACCCTATTGGCATGAAGATGCCCACTTAGAGTTGTACAGCAGATCTCAGCGGAATTTTGACAATAAGCAGATGTTTGCTTTTAAAGAGCTGTACAAATGGCGCGATAACATCGCGCGAACTGAGGACGAAAGCACTGGGTAAGCGCGACAATAACCATCGGGTATGGGAAAGCAATAAACGAGACTTTTAGGTACGTGTTACCCAACAATATGTTAATGGAGGTGGCTGCCAGATTGCCCAAAGAAATGCAAGGGATTTTGGCTTGTTGTAGTCCAGTTCCACCAATGGTTAAGGCGAATTTGCTCGAGCTCCATAAAATCGTATTAAAAGCTTTGGAGCGGCCGTTTGAGGAGGTACTTGTTCAGTGTCTTTATAGCCTGACATATTTGCCTTTTAATTTAAATTATCCGACGTTCATAAAACTTAAAAACCGCATAAATTTCAGCCGATTTTAAAAGAAGATACTCGGGCCAGAGGCTCTACTAAAAAGATCTCCAAAATTAATATAGACAATCCATTGCACTGTCCGCATGATTTATCTAAAAACCAAGAATTTCGCGATGATCTGCCGACTTTGCTCCAGTCTAACACTGACCTGATTACTTTTCTGTTGAGCACACAACTTGGCTTGGAAGTTACTGAATCAGTGCACGCCTCTGTGTTTGATACATCCAAACCTGGTCTAGATCCAGTAAGCACAATTCGAGCGGCTAGTTGACAATGTTGGACACCTAATTTGATTCTTTGTTGTAGCAACTGAGCGTGGCTAGTGCAAAATTGCGCCACTTTAAGGAGAACTTTAAGTTCCGGGGCCCCTTTGAACGGTACAAGTTGGTGAGACCGTTTGTACGAGCCAAAGAGAAGAAGTTGGCCGAGGAACGCGCCACGCAAGAAGAGGAAGCTCAAAGAAAAGTAGCTGAGGAAAGTAAGAAGGCAGATGGCGCAACTGAACGTACTGATGAGGAAAGAATTGAGTCTGTGAGTAAACTAGTGTGCTTAAGTTTGTAAAAGATGACTTAACATTTTTGAATTGCCTTTTAGATTAGAGAACATTTCCTGGAATTAGCTCGCAAAACTTTGCCGCCAACGGCAATCCCACCGAAAAAAGCATCTCTTTTGGATATGGGAGGAAGCAAGAAGCGGACACGTTGCGATTCTGTTGAGGTGATTGAGTGTAACGTGCCCGAAAGCTCTGTTTGCACGCCAATTCCCAATGTCCAGATGGCTCATGATCGGGTAGATAAAAATAAAAATGGACGAATGAGACCAATGAGAAATAAAAATGGAAGTAAGATAATGAAAATTGATCAAGCTTTAGATAGCCAATTAAATAAAGTGAGCAAAAGAGAGAGAAACCGCTTGCGAATGGCCAAACGCAAAGAGAAGAAAGTACTGGCAATAGTAAAAAATGAACGGTAAGGATGGATTGTTTTGGACATTGTGGCAGTGATTCATTTGGAGCGTTATAGGGAAGAATGGACTGGACCGCGTGATAGTTTACCAGCAGAATGCAGCCATGTAGAGCAAAGTACGTCTTCCGGAGGCAAGAGAGGAAACCGAGGCCGAGGTCGAGGTCGAGGTAGGCAACTTGCTGAACTGGTCAAGCAATTTGGCTTTAAGTTACACTTGTTTTAGGGGGAAGGTACTTTAGACCCACACCACAAAGAAACAGCAATGACACCCACAATGAACCAGGAGAGAGTGAGGAATTTAACAGCTTCGATTATTCAATGGTCGATTTTAGACAGTTTCAAGGTGGCGCCCGAGGCGCACAGAAGAACAAGCAGTTTAACTCGAAATTCAGAGGCAGAGTAAGTTGAATTTTTTTACTCGGATTTAGATCGGTTCAATTATTGATTTGCTTGTCTGACTACTTTTCCTTAGGCATTTTCCCCCGTGCTTTAGGTATGATTCAGTCAGTTTGTGTGGAAGCGATTTTTTAATAGAGCTTATACAAATTTGGTTTATCGTAGGGCAAACCCAATAGACGAGGCGGGAAAAGCCAAAATAACAGATCGATGAGTTTTGGGCGAGGCAAAGGATTTGGAGCTAGGAACTAGATAGGGCAATCAATTGCATCCTAAACTGCCATGTAGGATGTTTAATATGTTGGCTCAAATTGTTTATATTTGAATAAAACTGAATTCCATATCAGCAGTTTAGAAACATCGTCAGGTATACTTTTTAGGCTCAAATAAGTCGTGCTAGCTTTTATAATGGATTTAGTTTATTAACAACTACAAGCTTTATTTAAATATGGGACTTGCTCTACAAAGCGGCAACTGCGGCTTTCAGAATGGAGTATTTGTTGTTGTTGCAAACACCTCTGAAGTCGTCCAGAGTCAGATCATCGACAGCAATTCCTCCCAAGCCTAAACACACAGTGGCCGATGAGCGTTCGCTGTTTCATCCAGTTGGATAGGAGACTTACCTTTGTTCCTCACATAGGTGGCTTTGCTGGCTGCCGATTGGGGGTCTTCGTAAGCGATCCACACCCCATCCTCGCCCTTCTCCTCATCGTGGGGTTTGTACGCGTAGGGTCCTGGAAGCAACAAAAATTCATCTTGCAGCCCTCTTAATCCATCCAACTCGATTTATTGTAGGTACCTCTTTTGTTGGTGCTGTCGGGAACTTTCCTGTAACCCGAAGGCGAAACGTTGCCAGTACCTCCTTGCACCCTCACGCAAATTTCTGGGTAACTGAGAATTCCGGCGTCTTTGGTTTGCGGACCAGGTTCTCCCGCCCCATCCAGTCCCTCAATTGGTACGTTGTCTACTTTGGCGTCTTCGTCCAGCTTCCAAGTGCGCCCGTAGGTGGGAATTCCCACGATGAGTTTCTTCGCTGGAAAGCCTTGACCAAGCCTGCAGGCTTGGGTTTGCTAAGCTATTGCGGTAGGGATAGGAGGGAGGTGCTTACCAATACTTCACCCAGGCGTCGATGTTTTCGTCTTGTCTTCGGTCGATTAAATCGTACAGTGGGGCCGGAAAGTCGGCCAATTTCGGGTTGCGCTGAGCAGTGTAAAAGTCAAAAGCGTGAAGGGTTACGAAGTCAACCGAGGGGGCGAGACCTCTGGGGTCGTAGTAAACTGCGGAAAAGAAAATGGGACTCATCGACGTTTTCTCTCCGTTTTCTAAAACTTACCAGTACTGTTCACGTTGGGCAACACCGTTAATGACACCAGAAAATTGTCCGGCCTAAAGGTGGCCTTCAGTTCTCGAATCAGTGCTACGAATTGATCTCTGTGCTCCTGGGCGTTTTCATCAACCACTGTTTCGCCAGCGAAAGTTTTCTTCACCGAAGACCAGAATTTCCCTGAAACAATCCGGTAAATTCAAATTGCCCACTTGTTTTGGGCGAACGTCACTCACCAAACCCACTCTTTATCTTCTTCGGTTTGGTCTCCGGAAACTCCCAGGCCAAGTCTATACCATCGAAGCCGAAGCCTTTGACCAGAGTGTGAGCTGAGTTGATGAAAGCTAAGCGATGCGCGGATGTTTCCAACTGAACAATTAATCTTTTATTGCCGGAGTCGAGGCCAAGTACTCCTGTGAACTTACCACTTGTCTATACTTCAAGTTCTTCTCAGATCCCTCCCCGCTCACGTCCTCGTTGCCTCCAACCGAAAGAAGCACCTTCAAATTGGGGTGTCTGATCTTCAGGTCGGTTACATGCCTGTAGTTATCCTTGAGGACGTCGAATTGCTCATTGAGCGGAACCAGCTTGAGGCTTTCCTCATTAATGGCCGCATATCCATAGAGGAGATGAGTGCAGTATTGTAGCGCGGGCTCCAAGAAGGTCAGATCGAATTTTCCTTGTCCTGCACAGAATTTTGCTTTGGTGATTAGTCATGCCGTTGGGACCTTGGCCGTCACTTAAAATGAGATCATTCTGTTTACCGGCGATGTTAAAAATTAAATGAATTATTTACGTGAGGTCGGTGGCAATTGGCTAATTCGTTTGTTCTAATGCAAATTGCTTGCGAAATACTATGTAAATTGGCCTAGTTTTTGCGCTTGTTTGGGAAAACGTTGGCTCGATTATGGATTATGGGTTGCAAATTGTGCGGTTTTTTTATTGGAATCACTAGCAGCAGTAATAGTGCTCTAATTACTCTGCTGATTTTCCACTTACAATCGACTTTTCAATTCTCTATTCAACGATGCCAAAACGAATTCTGTGGCTCGAATGGTTCTTGAGAAACTTCGAAAAAAGCAGCGTCATGTTCA